CACAATGAAATTTTAATTAAGTCTGAGCTGGGACTCGCTTTGTGCTGATGCAGCTGAATGAAATGCCACTGATTATGTTTGTATGCCCGCTACCCATTACTTAAATCTGGGAAAAGGGTTATGTGAGGCTCTACAAATATTAAGTTTATGTAGTGTGAGCTGCCATGAAAGTCACTAGGGTTTTAAAACCACTTTTAAGTCTTATATTAAGTGCCTAAAAGTATGCCACTATATAATTAAAGCTTAGAAGAGCATGAATTCATTCAGAAATAGGAATTTCCTTTATTCACTGCATACTTTTAGACGCCTAGAGTGACATTTTAAAATGGTTTAAAGACCCCAGTGTTTTAGAACGAGTGTGATACAACGAAACTTGGAATGACTTTCAGTTGGTCATCGAATGAATTGTACATTCATTTATCCATCTTATGAATCGTAAATTCATGTATCCTAAACACACATTGATAATTATTCTTGAAACCATCCAAGAGCCATTTCAAGCTATATGATAGTTCATGAATAAATCGTGAGTAAATTCAGAGATGAATTATAGTATTACCCATTTATTGGTTGTATTAGTCTTCCTCTCTGCATATCTTATAAAGGTTCTAGAAAATAGATGCACTGGTCTACTTTTGAACACAGCAGCATTTCAGAATATAGTTATGAAAATAAAGCATAATTTTAGATTATATTATACATGTTTTCCATATATGGATGTTTATAAAGCTATCCAATCGAAACTAAGAACCTAACAACACTTAAATGAGACTACACAGTTCTTTTTAACCGGTACTTCCAAGTCTACCCTAAATCAACAGCATGCTTGAATGGCTCTTAAACTGCTGAAATGCTGGCACACACACATATTTGCTTGTGATTTTTCTGTATGTATAGCATGCATTTACTTTTCTACTTTTACTTTGGCCCAGCCCAGCCCCACCCACCGACACCCAGCCGCTTTCTACTTTCTCCGCTCCCCCATTTCGCCATGCATTCGTTTGTTCCTGTTTTGTTTTGCGTCTGAATGGCTGCACAAATACAAAACGTCTGCACATTGTATCTTGTTTAGTATGAAACATAAATGCATTTGTGTAATTACACAACATACATAACTGTATCTAGAGAGCCTTGTTTTAGGATGTCTGCTGGTCTAAGCCCACTGGGAGGGAGGGAGCGAGACGGAGGCAGGGAGCGAGGGAGCGAGAGAGAGGGAACGAACGCGAAGCTTTTCACTAATTGAAGTAAATGTGCTAAAGGCTTGCCGAAGTTATTCGCAATGGGAGTGTTCTTTAGCTAATGATTGTTAATGGATTCATTAGGAAACTCTATTTTTACGTTCAGCTAACTGGGGTGATTTAATATTAAAGAGGCTTGGGAAAACTGCTGGCGAAGAATTGAAAGAATTTCCATTTGAATTCGGTTACATTAAATTATTATAGTTTATATTGAATTTTTTAAATTAGTAAATTATGCGAAATTAGAATCAACCATAAAGAATGTATTCAAATGAGGTGCATTTTCCTTTAAATATAAAATGCTTTGTTATTTATACAAAGATCATCTATAACCACTTTTATCGAAATGAAAAACCAAATATCTATAATCAAAATAAAAAAAAATTAGCTATAATTATTATCTACAGAACAAAATGGTTTTCCTGATAAATTCACATTCACACATAGCGAAATATTCAAGCACATTGTTCTTGAACTAAGAACGTTCGATCTTAAAAACCGTGTAAGCACATTTTGAGTTTAATGTTCTCAATATCAAAACAAAATGGTAGGAAGAGACAAGATAAATTGAGTTTATTTAGCAACTTTTTGATAAGTTTACACTACTGACTGGACTAACAATAGTAACAAGCACATTAAAAACATTTTCAACTTAAAAAACTTTGTTCCATTTTCAAGACATTCACAACTCAAATGAGAACGTCAGAATTCTCTCGAGCGAAGTTAAGCATTATGAGTCAAAATGATTTTCCAATCTCTTGTTTCTGACAGCATTTCACTTTTCTTTGCTCTGCAGAACAAAATGATATTTCTGATAAAATGCACATCCAAAAGTGCACTAAAAATCAAGATACTTATCTTAAAAATCTGATTTGCTCGTTTAAATCCATTAGATCTTTTATTCTTGTGGCTCAAAAATGACTCTTGTTTCTGACAGCATTTCAATCTCCTTTGCTCTTCATAAAGCAATCAACTCGTAACAACTAATTGCAACAATTGGCTTCGTAATCGAATAGTTAATTATGCCCAGGGTGCAGCAGGCCAAGTAGAACTCTGTGGCCTCCGCTCTCATTTAGTTTTCATTACGAATTTTGGCGTGGCACGTGATGGGCATGGATAAATGAAGACAAATAACTCTTTCGTTCACATCCAGCCAGCCAAACCGTCCGATTTGTATGCACAGACTGACCACAGAGATGTAATACAATGGAAAAATTACTTGCTTACCTCTGGATCGCTGCGTTTGGCTTGCTGCTCCCTATTTAATTAAGCACTTAATTATTTAATGCGCTGATTGTGCAATATTTCAAAGGGCCCCATCCAGTACTTAGAGTTGCTTAGCTCAGCTTAGCCACAGTCCTTTGAGTGTGTGCTTTGGGGTGGACCACAAAACCGCAAGACTAAATTCGCAGTAATTTAATTAAAGGCTTTTAGTCTTATCTATAAAAAATAAAATAAATAAAAATGTATTGGGGTTTGCTTTAAAATGTTATTTGAATATTTAAATTTTGTATTAACAGGGTCCACCCCAAAAAGGATACTTGTGCATGTGGGGGATGTGGGTGTGTTGAGGTGTCATAATTATCGCATTGGGTAGCCGAATTTAATCAGACCAGCGCACCGTAGGTCAAGTCAAGGTGTGGCAATGGGTTTCCATTTGATTGCGTTTCTCCAGACTGAAATTAAATGAAGCGGGTAATGGATTACACTTGACCAAAATTATTAAGATCTACACTTAGTTAAAACTAAAATACCTTGGGTATTTTAGCCTGGTAAATTATTTAGCTATACATTTTCTTTATTTTCAGCTTTTTAATTAAAATTCTCTGTTGTATTTGACAGCGACCCCTTTGCACTTGCCTCAAACATTTCTTTGACAACACATGGAGCTAAATCCCATTCTAAAATTTTAATAAAGTCCAACATTGACTGCCTCGTGGCCGTTGCATTTTATTTCATTTCATTTCCATATGCTGGCTCTGTCAACCGCCTGTCTCTCTAATTAAACTTTACAGAGAAGCCAACATTTGTTCCTCGCCAACGCCTTATTAAGCATTTTCATTACACTGCACTTGACCAGCTCGGTCTCTTTTAATAGGGACCATTTTCCCCCCAACCCAAGTTGAAAAGGAAAAAGGATAAAAATAAAATAGGAAAATGGGAAAATGTGGTTGGGCTTAAGTGCACATAATTAAACAGCAAATTCTACAAATGATTTAAGTGGATTTCATGTATTTAGGATTGTAAAAACAAAAAAATCAATAAATGCAACTGATGGGCTTATTGTTTTTAGTCACATTGCTTATTTACATTAATCTGTGCCTGTCCATGCATTCATTATTCAATCAGCAGTTTTCAATTAATGGCTAAGACAACACGCCCCGCCCACCGAATCCCAATTCCATTAAAACACGAATCAATTTAATAGAGTTCTCACTCCCGCCGCCAAACACCCGTTCTCTAGAGATAAAGCAAATATTGGTTCTCCTCGCGTTGCATGTGTATATAGAAAAAGGGAAAAAATAAACAAGAAACAAAAAACAAAAAACAAGAGGAAACAAAATCAATCGAAAATGTTTGCTGCACTCAAATTAAAAACACAAACAGACCAATACAGCAGTCTAGTGTAAGAGTGAGTGTAAACAAAATGGCAAATAAATTTGATTTGTATGCAACAAACACGAGCAAAGCGAAACAAATGCACTGAGAGTCGGGCTGCGAAATTTATGCGTTTCATGCATTTTAAATGGTGAAACAAGCGCTCCTTTTGGCCCTGGCACATATTCTCAGCCTTGTTGTGCGGCGCAAAATTTGCGCTATTAATATTTGCATTCAACTGGCAACAGCCCAAGCAGCCGAGCACCCATTCCAATCCCCAGGCGGAGCTCCTCCTCCTCTTCCTCTAGTGCCTCCCAACACTCCTTGGAACTATCAACACATCTGCCAGCGGCATTGTCAGTTGACAATGGTCCTTTGGGTAGGATGGGCAAGGACGCAGGATGCAGGACGCAGGATGCAGGATGCAGGATCCGGAGGAGGAAGGGGCAGCCGCTTGGCAATGGTGCGTATTATGGCTGCAGTTATGCGAGGGTTCTTGGGCACCCATATAGAGGGGTTCTCTATATTTAAAAAGGCTCAAGCGGCACTTAACTTCTGCTCAAAGCACGTCCTACAAAGCATGGGGTACAGTGGAAAGGCTGTAATGAAATATACGGAAAAAAATAATTCCTAGATTAATTCATTATTTAATAATAATAATAGGAAAACAAAATAATACATCCCTTCTCACAATGCTTATTAAAAAAAAGTTACAATAAGAAAAAGAACATTTCTAAAAATATAAAAAAGATTTAATTGTATGACTGGCAATAAGGATTAGGGAAATTATGGTTATTATTTCGTTTAAAAATTTATTTCTACCTCTTCAGAAAATTATTGTGGGGATGGGTAAAAAGTTTTTTAATTCAATTCCTAATAAAAGATTTTTTTAATATTTAAAGAATTATATTGATTGGGTCTCTGGAATGTTAAATATCTCAAATCCTCAGCTTTGTTTCAAAAATAAAGTCACAATTTTTTATTATCTATCTTTTTTAATGCTATACCTACAATCTAGCTAACTACAAATCGGCATGAACCTTAACTAAGTGGGTAGTTAAAAAATCTTCGTAGATATTATAGCTTTATACATATTTCAGCATTCCAGTAATAAGTAAGTAAATTATCTGTAATATTATTATTATTACTTTAGATTTACTTAGACATATCCTTCAAATGAAATTCATGAGTGATATTTTTCGTGGAGCAAATTTAAGCCTCATAGACGAAGTATTCCAGGCATGGCCCTCCTCACACCAATCAAGCCTTCCCCGTAGACTACGGATGCCGGAGCAACTAGAGCCGAACTACTTGGATGAGCCGGAGACGTTCTCTGTTCGGCGATTTGTGTTCAAGCTCATTAAGATCGGGGTGCTGCTGCTGATCTGGGGATTCTTCACCTACGTTCTGGTTCGGATCTCAACAGTGCCGGAATATACGTCGGTGGTCACCGTTTTGCCCAACGAAACCCAGCTAAGCCGGATAAAATTGCCAAACGATGCCACGAAGATAACTTTAAGTGGTCCCATCGATTTGAATTTGCTGAAGAAAAAAGGTGACGCCAAGGATACGCCATATGTGGGTCTACGAGTTGAATGGCGGGATCGGGACTTGAATGAGACATTCCGTCGCTCCAAAATGTGGACTATCTACCTCCTGAAAGACGATAGTCTTTTCACGGCAGCCACTAACACCTTTAAGATCAAGCCGACGGCAAACAGCAATGCCAAGGCAGTGATTTCACTGGAAGGCAGGAACGAGGAGCCGGTGTCCCTTCTCATGGAGGTCTGTTCCCATCCCATGATTACCGATTACGGAGTTCTCTACGCCGCCTTGCTGCTACTAGGTCTATATATCCTGATCGTTTTTGAGCTCACGGATCGCACATTCGCCGCTCTCCTGATGGCCACCACTGGGATAGCGATCCTCACGGCGTTGGGGAATCGACCCAGTCTGGAAAATATCATCGCCTGGATTGATTTCGAGACGCTGATGCTGCTCCTAGGAATGATGATACTCGTGGCCATAATGTCGGAGACGGGAATCTTCGACTGGATGGCTGTGCTGGCCTATAGGATCTCCAAGGGTCATCCCTGGCCGCTGCTTATTCTATTGAGTTCCATCACTGCCATCATGTCCTGTGTCCTGGACAATGTGACCATGCTGCTTCTAATGGCGCCCATTGCGATCCGTTTGTGCGAGGCCATGAGTGTGCAGACACCTCTTGTCCTTATAGTGGTGGTGATGTACTCGAATATCGGTGGCACCCTCACTCCGGTGGGTGATCCTCCCAATGTGATCATAGCCACCAATCCGGTGGTGATTGCCCAGGGCATTGACTTTCTCGTCTTCACCCTGCACATGCTGCCCGGAGTTTTGATGGCATTGATAGCTGGCTTCGGGGTCTTCTATCTGACCATGAGGAAATCCCTGTTCAAGCTGCAGGATCGTCAGATTGAGTTGGCTGCAGAAAGGGAGGCCAATAGACGAAGGATGAGTGCGGAAATTTCAGCTCGAGCGATGGAAATGCGGGATCGCCAGCCGACAAAACCTTGTCTGAAGCCCTCGGCAAACTATTTCGAGACCCTGGCCCATCTTGAGGCACATCATCGGATTCGCAACAAGACGCTGCTGATCAAGTGCATGTTCACTTTGGTCTTTGTGGTCATCTGCTTTCTGCTGCACTCCCTGCCCTTCATGGCAGGCGCCACCTTGGGTTGGGTGGCCATGCTGGCCGCCTTCCTGCTCCTCATTCTGGCCAAGATGAACGACATCGAGGAGATACTTGACCAGGTAGAATGGTCGGCCCTACTATTCCTGGCCGCCCTTCTAGTGCTCACCGAGGCGGTGGCCCAGTTGGGTTTCATCCACTGGTTGAGTGAGCATACGGTCAGTGTGATCATGAGCGTGGAGGAGAAGCACCAGACCACGGTGGGCATTCTGGTGATCCTCTGGCTGACCGCCTTCCTGGCGGCCTTTGTCGGCAATGTCCCGGTGACAACGATGATGCTCCGGCTGACCATCGAGCTGCACCACAATGATGCGATCAGTGTGCCCCATACGCCTCTCATATGGGCCCTGTCCTACGGCGCCTGTTTCGGGGGCAATGGCACTTTGATTGGGGCCTCGGCCAATGTGGTCGCCGCTGCGATCGCCCACCAGTATGGCTATAAGATCTCCTTCGTCCAGTTCTTCATCTACGGCTTCCCCATGATGCTGGCCACGGTTTCCCTAGCTACGGTCTACCTCCTCATCGCCCACTCGGTGTTCACCTGGCACAAAACGTAGTTTCCCTGGTTCCAACTCCATTAGAAGGCCCTTCTCGGAGTTGCGATAGATGGGATGTACAGTCTATCTAGACGCTACTCCGATAAGAGTCTCATTATGGGTTGTTGTGATCCTGAGATACGTGTATCGGTGTGCTCGACCGAAGTTATCGATTTGGATCGCCTGTAAAATACCATGTACATTTTGTAAAGTATAAAGTGAAACTCTCGATTTATGTCCCCCAAATAAAGTTGGTTTTACTATACAAATTATAAAAGGTTTAAGAACTATTTTTTTATTTAAAGGAAATATAGAAGAATATATAGTTAGGGATGTCATACTTAATATTGCCCTCCATTTAATATTTCTCTTAATTCTGTAGCCTGCTTAGAGCCGATTTCTCAATGTCAGGTTAAGTTATAGTTTGTTATCCGTCAGAGAAAAATAACATCAAGATAAATTGTTTGGAATGACAAATTCGTTCTTAGTGTAATGACAGTTTTGCGAATGACAAATCTTTACAAAGCGTGATCAAAAACTCAAATAAAATAATATCAATTCAATGGATTATTCAATGTGAAGGACCTGAAAAAGAAAGTAGGCAAACTTTTTATTGTCAAATTTAACTAGAACATTGCCTCAGGTTAAGTGTTTTTAGTCAGATATAACCTAAGCTGGTATTTAGAGCTTACATTTTACTGAATCAGCAATTTAACTTAGTGACAAGACTTATCCTGACATTGAAAAATCGGAACTTAAATCACTTTAAAGTTGTAACCCACTATGTTAAAGAGTATAATGTTGATAGGAGTTTTTATATAAAACAAAAACTAATATCCACCATTCTTAGTTATTTAGGAAAATCAATAAAACCCCAACTTTAACCTAATTCTCGCTTTTTCGACCACTGTATTATTTTGTATAGCATACTTTGTGCGCAACGACCCCGACAACTCCAGCTGCAATGACAATGCGTAGCTTGGCTAAATTCTTCCGCTTAATCGCGCAATAATAGCTCAAGGGTGTTAAATATGCATAAACAGCGGCAACAAAGGCAACAACTGCGATTACAACTGACTAGATCTGTGTGCAGCAACAACTTAACCGCATCTGCTCCGGGGTCCTTGTGGATAAATATATAAAATCCACCCAAAGAATCTGCGGAGGGGAGATTTTAAATGTTGCAAAATAATTGGTGGCAATTACGTTCTGCTTGAAAAGTTAATTGAGGAATTTAAATAAAATGCGCCCCAACAGACGAGTTTCAAAGCCGAGAAAAACACTCAATCTAGCGAATTAAGTCCTGTTTAATGTCGAGTATACACGTGTACACATCGAATACGAATTCACTTGTGGCAATCAGCGAAATTCTTGGGAAAAATACAAATAACGATTTCGCCGCGAGGGAAAAACAAGGGCAAGCCTGAAAACAACAACACATGCAATCCGCCAATAAATCAACTAATTAAATATTCCGATTCGGAGCCAAAGTATTTGATTTATCCAAATTTAAACAACACAACAAGGATCCAATCGGAGCCCAAGCCTTGTGCCCTCTTTGCATTTTGACTCTGAGTTGATGTCGCGACTTGAATCAACATCAGTAAATAACAACAGCAACAGATATATGAAATCACGCGACAGCTCGAAAAATGAGTGAAATAATATCAAATGAAATGAAATAAAATAAAACGTAACGAAATGTCTGATTGCGTTGGCGTTCTAACTTTCCGAGGTTTGCTGCTCCCCATTTGAAAACATGAAAGCGGCTTTGCATGTGAGCAGCACACCAAACAAAAGCCGAAAAAAGTAAATTAAAGCACGGCAACAATATGTGGCAACAACACTGGCAACGTAGCACTAATTACCTTAATTGCGCAGGGCGTGCAGGAACACTTGATGAAGGCGACGAGGACAAAACTTTAACTTGGCCTCTAGCCCCAGCGTTACTTGGCCGAATCTGTAAATTGGGAATAGAGATGATTGCGTGATTGAAAAAGAGGGACCATTAAAAAGTGTTAAAATATTCTTACTTTTAATAACCATACACTGGATTCCAGTTCAAATGTAAGGGAAAAATAGGAAAATAGGGAAAATTACTTAAAGTGTTTAAAAATTCGTACTTTTAATAACCCCACGTTGGACTCCAGTTCAAATATAAGGGAAAAATATATTAAACAATACACTTCAACTTTTAAAAGTAGTACACTATACAGTGTTTCTTTTAGGATTTTTAATGAGACATAAGATATTAAAAAAAGGATTTAGATGAATCATAGATTTATTTACCAATCTAGGAATAACAAATTTTAAACGATTAATGGAATCTAAGCTTGAATCTTAACTTTCAAATCTTCAGATACATTCCCTTTTTCTCAACCTCTTGTATTTCCCAATAGATTATTCCAATTATTATAAAAGCCCACATAGATTACACGTAATAAAAGCTTTAAGTTTGATCTTGAACAACTTAAACATATATACTTAATAAATATTTAAATTATCTATTTAAAAAAAGAAGGAAAGTCTTGGTAGGCAAGATTTAAAATATTATTTTTATTATATTTTAGAAAATTAGAAATAGTATACAACAATAAGTCTGTAAGATTTTCATGTAGATTTCAACGCTGGTTTCTGAGACCTTCGACTCTTGGTGGTAAAAAATGTCTAGTGCCAAAAGAAAGTCTATAAAAATTCGTTTTAAATTTTAAAAGAAATTTATAGTAATATAATTATCATATATATTTAATTTAATAACTTCTAAGTTAAAAGCCTGGAGGATATATATTCCCATGATCACCCTGCCAACTCTGCTGAGGGAGAAGAGCTCGTTACCGAGCTACGAAAACGCGAAAGCGTCACGTTGGCATCGCGTGCGGGGCAACGTGTGTGGGGCCATATAACGTATACGCCAAGGCGGCCAAATGTGTAGAAATGAAACATTAAATTACATTGGCTTCCCTTTGCACCCCTTTGGCCTCTCACCCCCCTATTTGCAGATGACTAGCCGCCCATTGTCTCTCGCCTCTGACCCCCTTTTCAAGGGGCAGGTGTGGTTTGCACGTAGATCGCGCACGTAGCTGAAATTTTAAGCACTCCGCAGGACAGAAGAGGATAGTCAGACAGACCGCCGGCGGTTTTGTACTGAAGTGCGCTTTAATAGTTGGCTGTCTGCAGCTGCCGCAGCCGGAGCCCTGGCTGGGAAAATCGGGAAAAGTGGAAAAGCGGAAAGGCAACAGCAGCGGACGGTCGCATTTATGAATGTGGCGTGCCGGCAGGCCAGAGTGCTGTTTAATAAAATGGCGAGGAAAACAGGAATACTCATGGCACTGCTGCAACACGAACTGAAAGTGTAATTATGCAGATGTTTGAGGATCAGCCACAGCCATGATTTATGTATGTCTGCCACAAAACGTCGACCCTAATTACATCTGCAGCGACTGGGACACCGAAGAATGCATAGAATTAACCTAGCTCATGGCCCACAGCTCACACACATGAAAAGCCCGAGAAAATCGGCTTTCACCTGGACAATCATGAATTAAATCAGAAATCCCAGACTTGAGGACACGAAAGTAATTAACTCGACCTCGGTTGTATGCCCAGGGCCATCATCAATTTCCCGAATTGTCACTCTCCGCCAGGAGTTGGTGTTAATTCTCGTCTAATTTGTAATTCACCTGTCCGCCCACCCGACCAGGCCAGCAGTTAAAAATCCTTTAGGCCAACATAAAAATGCCATTAAGTCTGCCTGTGATTATCCTTGTTTTGTGGATGTCCAAAATGTTTGTTTGCTCGGAGATGAGCACATAGGATTGGCAAAGGGAAAGCTTAGTCTTATCGTAGCTTGTATCAAATTGGGAACATAATCAATTTTACTTAATTATAGTATAAGTAGTGGGACTTAAATTGAACATATAATTTATATATATGTATATAAAATAATAAGATTATGTCGTATAAAAGACTTTTAAAAAAGTTTTGATTGCTTAAAGTATTTAATATGACCACTAACTAAATATTTCTTAACTTTTTAGTATTATTACTTAATGAAACAATTTCTTAAAACCAAAAAAAATTGAAAGACTGATGTTAAACAATTTTGAGACAATACATTTATATTTATAAATGTCCAACCTATTATAAAATACTTTTTAAAAACCTATCTTTGAATTGATAACCATTCGAACAATATAAATATAGTACCTATAAAATTTTAAATTTTTAAAAATTATTACCTTATAAATTTATTTCTTAAATACAAAATAAGGAAAGCGTGATGTGAAATATACATACTTGAGACAATAAATATTTATGTATTATGAATATTTATAACTGTCCAACCTATTATAAAAATCTTTTTAATAATAAACAGTACACTTTGCAACCTATCCTTAAATTGATAAGATACCATAAAACCACATAAGCTTACCAGCAAGAACTGTAGTTTAAACTAATCCCTTGCAATTATGAGAAATATTTATCTTGAAACCAAGCCTTTACCGCAATCCCATCACGATGCCATCTTTAGGACCGGACCCAAATATCCTTTGGTCACGCACACCAATGTCCGGACACAGTTTTCCGGACTAATACACAGACATCGGGGGAGGGGTCATGGACATACTATATCTCAACCGAGTTGTCCTTGGTGTTATTGTTATTTTGATAGTCCCATTGCATTTTTTACATAGCTCTCTGAGGCTGGTGTACATTGTTTACTGATGGCCATAATGATTACTTATTTCGAGGATTACCAACTCGCTCTCTCACTCGCTCCACAGAGTGCTGCCCTTGTTTTATTGGCATTGTTAATATTTGCTTTGTTGGCATCCTTGGTTTATTTGCTCAGGATTTGCAAGAATACCAGAGTGTGCTCTTTACGCCCACTCCACTTCGTAGATACACGCTCATTTAGTTTTATTGCGCATTTTGGATTGTGGCATTCGGAAAATTTAGCTGGTTGCTTTAGTATTTTAAAGATGCTTCCCCCAACCTACCGAAATATGCCAGCTATTTGTTTCCGTTTATTTACTTGAGGTTTGCCTAACAAAAGGGGCAATTATAATTTTAGCTTTGTGCTGGGATTCCTGGGTGTTTTTCATTGTATATTTTATGAGGCAGCATCGTTCAAAATGAAAATGAGTTCTGGGTTATAATTACATTAATTGTAATATCTATTAACATGATGTGATGTCTGAACCACAAATGAATTTCAAAGATACACACCAAAACGAA